AAGGAAAGAAAACGGTTTATTGGAAAACAACAATAGTTCTCTTCAGAAGGACTATCGTGAAGAATCACCCTGAAGGAAACAGTTTCAATTTTTGATTTCTTGCGGCATGCTACTCAGTCCTGCAGTGCTCAAGCCGATGACAATTAAGCAGTAACAAGAAAGAGCAAGTATAACAGGGAAAGATTCCGACAGCTTGTATTTTAACGCGGCTTACATCGGCCACTTCAAACCAAACTGAAGAGCATTTTGTTAACTACTTTCGGGGACCATTTATCTCCCGCAAAGATCTCAGTTACGTGTTTGAGCATGCCACGAGCTTCTGGCTCTGTCAGCTGAAGATGTCAGTCAAGAGAAAAAACAATAAAAATGGCTCATGCCATGAAATGCCTCTCTTCAGCAACAAATATCTCTTAATGAACTGTCCAACCTGAAACAAAGTGTTCGAAATATTAGATGAGTTAAAGCCGTTCATTAGTTACCAAGAACATGTGTTCAAAAGGCCATATGTGTTTTAAAATCCGTCAGCGGTCATAAATAACATGCTTACGGGAACTCCAAAAGCTGAAGCACTCATTGTTTGAACTCATTAGAGGATTTCACACTCTCTTTTCTGAATTGGTCCGGTGTGGTTAAATTTATTTTATAGTCAACTTTAACCAACAACCTAGGGATTGGTCCACTTAGTCCGACTGACAATTTGCAACTGCGCCTTTCTTGTTAGTAAAAAGGATCTGGAAAATTGTGATTATTTGGGCAACACTTAAGGATTTGATGAAATCAATCATACATCACATCCACGTGGAAAAAACCAGTGCAATTTCCTTTCCCAGCATGCTCAGATGAAATGACTGCTGTATGCAGTTGCTTCTGACAGAAGATGATCATGGTTCAATTCTTTTTGCAGTAGCCGTAACTATTTTAAAGAGTGCATTGCTTCCTTTCTTATATATAATGATCGTAAAAATACAGTTTAAATTGTAGGTTGTCCAAGGGGCAGTGTATTTCAACCCAACTTTGCACGATGTTTACAGGTCACCAGAAAAATAGCCAAAGAGGAGGAGTACATAAAATCCACAAAGTGAGTATTTCATTCCTCCCATAATAGTTATAAAATGTAATCCTCAGGTTTCTCACAGACGGTGGTTGCGCATTATTTTCAGCCTGAGGGCTGGTCACCCAGAATTCAGTCCGCTGGGTTACGGCCTCTGTCAGGAAGGAGATGGTAACATCATACTGATGTTTTTTCAGATTGTTAGGACCTTGGCGTATTTGTGGTCTCTTCAGAGAAAAAAAAATTAACTTTATCTCCTACTGTTACCATATTTAACTGAGTTTCTGTATTCAACTTAGTAAATACCCTTTAGACAATATGAGTGCTGGAACAGCAGGGATGGCACTAGTGGCTGTTGTCATTCGCTGGTTCATTTTCATTCAAACAAAAATGGGCCAGCAGGAAAAAAGAGCCATTTAAATGGTCAAGGCTCACGAAATTAGCAAACATTGCCGTGTAATTTTCAAAACTCTGTACGCCAGGAATGTGTGGTGTCTGGTTACTGAAATGCAATCATTTGCAGACAAATTTGGTTTTGCGAGAGATTCACCTGGAACCCCGCTGAATCTCTCGTTGGCGATGTTTCTAGGCAGCTGGATGTGCTGCACCAGGCTGCTTCACGTTTCAGTCGCTACGAGGTATCACGATACACGTTTATTAGTAATGCACTAATCGGTTTGCAGACAAATTTGGTTTTGCGAGAGATTCACCTGGAACCCCGCTGAATCTCTCGTTGGCGATGTTTCTAGGCAGCTGGATGTGCTGCACCAGGCTGCTTCACGTTTCAGTCGCTACGAGGTATCACGATACACGTTTATTATGCACGCACTAATCGGAGTATTTTCAGCAACCCTATGAGTAGTGCATTACGAATATACATGTCTGCTCTTCACTCAGACGACCAAAAACATCCAGCGGATATCTTGGCTTAATCTGGTCAAGTTGCAGGCTTAAAGTCGTTGAACCGCGATTTAACTGCATCAAAGAATGTCAACGGGTCATCCAGCAATACCTTTAGAACTGTTTGTTTTCAACACCAACCACCTTTCTATGCAGCTCTCACATGTTTATGTGAGTTGCATACAAACTGAAGAGGCCTATTGAGTTCAGGTCATTCGACAATCCATTATCAAGTTCGATAAGCTGTTTTTATCAAAGTACAGAAAATTCAGATACACCTCAAAATGTGTTCAGTGTGCTCAGTTGTTGAGCTTACTTGCGGTTAACCAGTGAACCGTGTGGCCATTGCTCAGCCACAGTCAGAGAAAAAATAGACAGTAACTGCTTACGCAAGACTGATTTACTCATGTTTTTGCAATCAAAACGCTCCTCATCGGGTTGTACACTACTGGGATTCCTTGTGACATGAGGTAATAAAAACACCGAACACACTAACAAGCAAAAAAATGTTGCACAATACGGGAAGCCCGTTTTGAGAAACCCTAACGACAGTTTTAATCGTGGCGTAAAACGCCAAAACATTCCTTCGATTGAGTGTAGCAGAGTTTTCAACTAGAATTGTTCCTCAGGGAAAGTGTGACCAGCTTACCTCGACCAGATTTTGCACACAGCATGCACTGAAATTGGGATCCACAGGCCGCTGAGTCCCCAATCTGTTAAACAAATCTCGACATAGTCTTGGAATGATGCCCTCTTCTGACTCCACTCCTGGTTTGCCACCCATCATTGTGTAGGATTTGCCGGACCCTGTTTGCCCGTAGGCAAAGATGCATACATTGTATCCTTCCATGGCGTGACGCAGGGTATTTACACCGAGCTGCTCATATACTTGGCTTTGGTTGCAGAATCGGGTATCAGAGCTCTGTGAATTAAATCAACGGTTCATATGATTTTTCGATAAAATATGACAGTGGACTGGGGATGAGGTATGTTGCTAACAATAAAAACTGCCTCATTTTGCAAATTCTGCCCCTCATAACTCTTGAAACGGAACGATCTTCCAGTTGGTACTGGTTATAGAATGGTGTCTTTAAAGCTGGTCATTAATTAAGTCGATGGCGCACTAGTACGAACGTGAATACAAATGCCCTTGATTCACAAGTCGTTTACTAATACTGCTAATACTAAAACTAGTACCAGTGTCACATTCAGAAGTGTTGACATTAGAGGCACTTTGGTTCTGCGGATTAGTTCCAACTGAATATGACCTGACTCAATTTACTCCAATAAACTAATAATACGAATCGCCAAAAACTTATACACACATGCTTCCGCGATCGTTCGCCTAGTGATGTGGAGATTTAAATAACTTTCTTGCACAACTGGCACACCTTGAAATGACTAGTTTGTATATCTTTCCAATGTTGTCATACCCGTCACTCCTAACACACTGCTTAGCGTACTTATAGAACTAAATTCAGACCAATAAATGAACTGTGTGTCAATATCTGGATCTGAAAGTGGTGTGAGTTTGACAAGACGATAAACTGCATTCTGTAAGTACAGTTCACTTCAAAGATGCATTTTGAACTTTCCTGGGATACCATTTGCACAAACTTTCAAATTCTTAAGGATATTACACTTACTTATGTAAGGCATTCTAAGATAGTAGATTTGTCTACTGTAAGCCACTCAAAGGGAAAGTAAAAGTAACTTGATGGAATTTTACTATGACAGGCTGTTGGGGGGTGCAAAAATCTTTGTTTTTAACACAAAGGAAATTCCTACAAATAATGCCTCTGCAGCACACTTGCAAAAACAAATGCAAGATCGCCTACTAATATGCCATATAAAACCCGAGAGCGACAAAACGGTCATTACCATAGCCGGTTTTGTAGAAAACTTACTAAAGTTCTATGCAAAAACTGTACGCTTAGTTTTTGTGCCCCATTTTGTGCACCGAAGTTAAGCTCGGCCTGTTCAACATCAATAAACCGTTTTTTATCGTTGTGCGGTAGGTTAAACTGCCAAGCTCAACGTTACTGCCATAAATAAAACTGTAGCTGACATGATTTGTTCGTATCTTTCGATTTAATGCTCAATTCATCACTTTTGTATAGAGCTACATTGTTCGCCATTAGAACCTGTGGGTTTCATAATTTCCATGTCCGTTGGTTTCTGAGCTCCTGGATGGTCTATCAAAAGTAAGTAATTTAAGGTGATTCCGGAAAACAATAAGAACAAGTAGCACCCTTAATCATGGAAATTTTAATGAATATTATTCTGGATCCGGAGAGAATCAAAGTGCCGTTTCACAAATTTTTGAAAGATGTTTGAGCAGTCATATTTCACTAGGTACGTGTGGGTTTTTACACCGATGCACACCCTTTGAGGATGGGTACTAACCTGTTTTAACAACAGCTTCTAGTGAACTAGCCTTGTGTCTTACCAAGATGTCTGTTTGGTCAACTGTACTTTTTTGCCACACCGTACTTCTTACCTGGTTAATGTTCATGCGCTAGTTTTTCTCTCCTCTCGCGGATAGAAGACTCCTATAAAAAACAACCATTTGCTGACCTGAATGTATTGCTCTACATTGTCCCCAAAAGTTACAAAATAACTCGTCGTAAATAAAGTTCGTCATGAGTTTGTGAAGAAAACCCTCACACAATGTGTACAATACCCTCTAAGAATCATAAACAAATTCGGCGCAACAGAAACCTTGTTTTTATGCTGCACGAAATAAACTCTCTTTCTTGTATGCAGGGTAAATTTAACGAGAATTCTATGGTCAAAAGATTAGTTGCGGTGTATAAGAAACGTTTGGACGAACGCCGTTTTTCCCTGTACAAAGAATCTATCGAGTTAAACAAACAAACTCTAGCTGATTAACCACACAGAATTCTCGTGGACCTTAGTTAGTATCATGTGCTAATGTTTTGGTAGGAGAAAATAAACTTCCTTCTCTTGAAGCAGAAAGCGTTCGAATGCTATTTATATTTCAGTGCTCCTCTAGCAAAGTGCTTATCTTTAGTGAAGACGGAAGGCGATCCTCATGAATCAGTCATCAGTACTCATTCATTACAGCCGCTCTTCTGTAGTCTTGATGTTTCATCTCACAGATCATTTATGTTCGTATCGTATTCGCAACTAATCTGGTTTACAGGAGCTAGCAGCTCACACGGAATCCGGACTACCCCACTCGAAACAATGCAAAATGTCATCTAGAGATTGGGGGAATGGTCTTTCTTTAATGCGAATCTTTTAGTGAATTTGTACATTTTTGCCAAAATTATAATTATTCGTAGATGGTGCCATGAAAAAGGCCATTTCAAGTAATAACGACTGCAACCGTGGTGACATCCCACCAACTCTAATAGCCAGAAAAAACAGCTAAGGAGACACTGTGGTTGAAAAATCGCTTAATTTCTGGTATCCAATTAAGATTTATTAAAGTTAGGCATCCAATGTGTACTAATGGCTTTTATTGGGATTCGAGTAGCTGGATGAACATAATACCAGGTTTGACAGGAGTTTGAACGCAGCATGGTTACTGAGGGCTCTTCAAAGACGCTGTAGGTATATTGTGGAAACTGAAACTTCCAACTGTTTGGCGCAAGGTTTTACTTACGTTTGTGTGAGACCAGTAGCTGTGGTCGAATTCGAATGTTTTTGGAGGTTCTTTGGAATTTGGACGGCGGATAGCTGGAAAAGAGAAACGGTGAAATCAGTGAGAATTTATTATTAGAACTTCCGTTTACAGTACAAGAATTTGTTACTGTTGATTAATTGTTCTGCGAATGTGCGATGGAGGTATATTATGCACCTAGAAATCATCAATTTTCACAAGTCAGCAGCAGCGAATGGGGCGGACTTCATCATCACCCCCAGTAAGCTCTCTGTAAGGGGATTTCACCTAAAAGTTATCGAATAGGCACGGAAGGATGGGATATCAGTCCTACACCGTTACACACGAACACCGACAATCCAAGTAAAAACCCGTAAATTAAGTCAACAAACTACGTAAACATGACATTCGGGCAATGTTTACAAAACAACGTGTGAGCAGGACCCGGGACGATACATTGCAAGTCAATATGGGAGACCAACCGGTCATCTGTGGCGCTAAGCTTCAACCAGATGTGCTGCACAAAGGACGCCTCATATTTCAGTTGGTACAATATTTGAGAGATTCCTCTGGATTCAGCTGAGTCCATCGGTACTACCAAATTGATTTGTAAATGAGGGTAATTCGCGAATTTTTTTCACACTTCGGATTCAAATAAAACACAAGTTTGGGTGATGAGAAGCTCGGAAGTTGCGTCTACTTGGTAAATCCAAAGTGAAAGGACAAAACAGGTAGTGGGCTATCAAAGCGTTTTCATCAAACTTATGAGTGGTTTCCCTTCAAAATTCTGGCGTATAGCGTCCGCATTGGTGCCTTAGGCAAGTAGCTGTAATTTACACAGCTCCACGTCCTAAGTGTTCATTGTCATGTACTCTTATCTATAAATTAGCTGAAATTCTGTGCTAAAGCAGCACCGGTTCTCACGAGGGTGGGTGGTGACATTGAGTGGGTAAATCCAAACCCGTCGTTAGCAAATGTCTGCATTACCTCATACATGCGAAAATATGAGGCGTCTGTCATCCGCAAGCAACGTAAAAATAGTGAATAAAACTCATTAATAAGTTACTTATGGCTTCAACGTATACGAGAAGTTTTAGAATGGAGTGGAGCGCCGCCCTTGGGGGGTATTTTCACCATCAATTTAGACCCGAAGAACCATGAAACAACCTTTTTTATGCACATCTACTTGAATAAAACGGAAAAATGGCACAGGCTACGAAGTAACGCCCTTTGTGTTCGCTTCATCTAATAACCATCTTTTCAGCCAATTCAGCTACCTCTGTTTAACTGTGAGAAAATGAAGAACACGAAAACTAATATCTATATTAGCCATTTTGTTTTGTATAGTTCTTTTTCCTTTGCCTGTTTGGAATTGAGTGTAATTTTAGCCATCTTTGCCCTAAGAAATCTTTCTTATCAAAGTATATGCTTACTGTCAGCCTTGTCTGAAGGGAAATCTAGTTGTGAGAGCACTCGTGGATGAATCCAAGCGGTGGAACTATCAGAATAGTGAAAGTCATTAAAAGTTGAAAGGCCACATCAGTTTGTTTACTTTGTCACGTAACTCACCCATAAAACCACCGTGTTTATTCGGGATGCACTTGATGACCCCAATTTGACAAATTGCATTGTAAAGATTATGACCTACGCAGGCATGTACTTTGTGTAAACTGCTCATGAAAGGCATTTGCAGACAGTTACACAACTCACAAAAAACACCCGAGCTCATGTGCAGAACAGATGCAGGGGAGAAACTGTTCCACCAAGCCAAACAAGTTTACATCGCCTCACATCACAGGTAAAAATCGTATTTTTCAAACTTCATCTGCATTTGTTCTTCAGTAGTTTGAATCCATGAATAATTCGCTGGATCGCCATTGTAAGATTATAAAAAGTTTCAGCTCAGTCACATTTATCTACTTGGGCGTAAGTCGCAAAGTCTTAGAGTAGTGTTTATCCGTCCCAGTCGTTACAGAGTAACGTCTTTGGCAATTGAGACGGTTAGGATTCCATTGGATGATCCTCAGCATTATCTCCATAAGCAGTTTGCAAAGTTTGTTTACGTCGATTTGAAATAAATTGTCCTTAGAAATCGCGGTGGTAGAAGATTTCAAATAGGGTTTCTCTGAACAGTGCTGATCACGTAGAACAGATTCAGTATGACAGGTTGCAGAATGCTGGATTTAGCCTTCACCAGTAAAACAAGCGCCCGACTTTTAGGTGATTATTCTTTGGCGATGGGTTTCGATTCTAGAACTGCAACGCACCAGAACCTTAGATGTCCTGGTGCAAGTGACAAGTGTGTTAACAGTACAAGCATCACAATGCATACAACACGTAAGATTGGGAATACATCGTTTGTCCCCCGTCCGTTAGCTTTTGCTCACTTAACCTTCCATTATGACGTCAGAAAACAGAAACACTTACAGTAGCAAACTTTGCTATATATATGTATATATTCGATGGTTTAACGCATGGAAGTCCAGACAAGTCTGCTTTTTCGGACGTGAAAATTATACTGCAGCTCCTTGTATAGGTAATTCAATAAAAGTGCGGGCTTCAAAGCATCATTAGACTCACATGTGGTTTTCCCATCCATGGATATCACACACGTGCTCTGGGCACTGATTTCTCTTTTGTTAAATGGCCGAACACGAACCGCCACTTTTACTGAGGACATGTTGCTAGTCTGAAATTTGAATAGTAGAGAGAGATTAAAAGATATTCAATATTTTTATCATTCTTGGACTAGAGTAGAGAGTGGACATTCTTCACCTGTTAACTGAAAATCCGTGAAAGGTGAAGCTGACTATGGAGACGATCACGTTCAAACAACTGAAATAGTAAATCAAAGGCGTTTTGTGGTGAACTGGAGAAATTAATAGGCAGCGGGGTGTAAAAACCGTTCTGAAGTGTGAAGTGGAATCACTGCACACCAATCGCGAAAGCGGGTCTTTCTAACCTGAAATTTTTGCTTTAACATGTTGCACGAATATCAATCCAAACACGTAACAAAATGGAATGTGCTAACACGCGCTAAAGTGCGTGAGCAAGAACTTGTAAAATGGACCTGATGAAGTCACTAATTTTCATAATTTACCGCGTCGCTCTAATTTCAACATGCGTTGCATGGAAATTCGATTTTATCGAACCAAAAAGCTTTACATACTGATATTCCTTTCCTGAAAGGTGCACATTGTCAAACGCGTTCTTTAGGCTGATTCCTACGGGCACTACTCAGTTTCACCTACCCGCGTCTTCATTGTGGTGCACGTAAATAGCACATTTATAAGAAATTAAAACCGGCGTAATAATATGTGGGCATTCTCCAAAATTGACAGTTCAATTACAAACATCACTTAGAAATAAAACACGAAGAAAAAACAGTATTGGCTTCCACGTACCAATTCTTTCTCAGGACACATTCGTAGACGACTCATTTTGGTTCAACTAAGACTCGGTCAAACAAATAAGTCCTGATGAAACCTCCAAGAAATAGTGGTCTAAGAGGAGACAAACCATAATCTACTACTCATAAGGTTGCTGAAAATTCTTTGACTGCCCACGGCCGGTTTCTTCCTTCTTGAGGCTCATCAGGTAGGCTAGACAGCAGTGCACTTTCGCTTTTTCCTTTTTTGGGACCATCAGCATCTCAAGAAACCCCAGGAAGTCTCGAAGTCACAAAAGCCCCGTTAGTTGTCTGAACACTACCGTTGGGATACCAGTGAATAAGCAACCGTCTGGGTAACTCATGCTTTGACGGGATATAATGCCATTCGTCCTTCAATGAGGGGAACCAAACCACAAGGTCGGTTGTTGATTGACTCCTTGATTGATGACCTCGCAGGTGGATGGCTCGCTCGCCTTGTGAACTACTCTTCCTTCTAAGCTATTTATATTTCGTTTACAATGTTAGGAGATATAGGAATTTTAGTCGTGAGTTTGGATCTCTACGAGTGTTTCAAGATGGGAACTGCTGTTGTGTCCCAGTAACGATGATGCAGTTGTACAGCTCTTCTCAGATCAGACTGACTCCAGTTACACGACAAAATGAAAAATCTTCGGATACTAATAAGTCGAGGAGTGATCCCAGTTGCGGAATATTGATTAGCCAACGTTCATTACCCACTCTTTATTGTTAGTATTTGTTGCATCAGGTCCAGATGCACCCCAATCCACATGAAATATTTATTCATCCAGCAAATGATTCAAACAGTAATGATTCAAACAAGTGGGAATAGTTTTCCGGAATGGTCACAGATAAATGCCTTTTACGGTATTCGTGCTACATGAAATCCAGCTGTTAGTATTTCCAACCATATATCGGTTGACATATAGTGGGCTTTTATGGAGTCCGAACTGATCAGCAGTACTTAGACTACTCTAATCTGCTCATGTCTGCTCGTCCTCCAACCGACCGATAGGCTGGATATTTGACACACCACTCGGCTTCATCTCTCGATGGCCCCGTAAATAAGTACTACTGCTGCCTGGATCAACTGGATAAATTTATAATCAAAGAGTGGAGGGCTTCAACGTTATTTGTATAAAGCGCTGAGAAAACCAGGCGTCGTATGGTGTTCGAATAACTACACGTCACCTGAAGCTAATTCTCGATTGTTAGATTAAGAAGATAGCGCACCTATATAGTTGTGGAAGTCTAAGAGTGCTTTGTTGGGCAGGAAATAAGCCCACCGTTCAACTTTTCCCTGCCTTTGGTTTGATAATGTTTTCACCAATGTAAGCTGCTGGCAATTGCTTCTTCGCCAATATGACTTGACAAACAAGCTTTTAGAACGATGATGGAATTTCAGGGTATGGGAATAGTTATTTTGCGTTGATGTTTGCAGCCCTACGGTTATGGTAAAGGATGGGTAGCTGAAGAGCGTTGTTTAGTAGATGGGGAGTTCCTTTTAGTAAACTCTCTTGCAAACAGAAAACTGCACTTGATTAGTAAAAGATGCATCACATAATACAACAATTGCTTATCAGTTCTCATATTTGCTAAAGTTTGGTTCAGCTAAATCATACGGAACTTCATGCGTATATCGTAAGCCCGTAATTCAGTTGGATTTATCTTTAACAACAGTGAAAGTTTTGAATTTACCACTTGCGTCTGGTGTTGGAGTAAAACATAAGTTTGATTGGATCAATGGAGGTGCACCTAGGGAATAGCGAAACCGGTCGTAAGGAGTTGAAGAGTCTTCAGCTGGCTTCTTATTAGTACGGCGTTACAAGAAAATTTATAGGTTTAAATTTATATCAATTCTGCCGGTAAACAATTCTGAGTCGTACTAGTCTACTAAGCGTAAGCCAGTTAAATGGTATCGAACTGTACAGAAAGCCGAGTAACAAACGGAGAAAACCAGAAAGTGCAGTCGGTTTATTCAGTCGAGTGTTATATATATATATATATATATATATATATCCTTGCAAGTAAGGACCATAAGGCAACAGGGTCTTGAATTGAGTAATTAGGGAGCACAAACCCGGGAGGGGAAAGCAGCATGGAATCAAAACGGGGTTGTAACAGAGCCAAGTATCATGCTGTTTATTTATTCTGACTACTCGTGAGTAGCGTGATACTTGTACTCGTAAGTACGTTTCGGTTCATTGGTGCTTTCCCCCGGGTTTTCGCTCCTTAATCACTCACTTCGAGACCTTGTTGCCTGCTAATTCTCGCTTGCAAGTTTGTATCGACTCTAGCTATTTTTGTATGTCTGCTCCGCACTCCTCGGTCGGGAGACCAGAGCGTTGCACGTGCCGTCAGCTAAAGACTGCTTCCAGAAAGACTTGCTGCCTCATTGTTCCTTTCTCTACTCCCACGGATTGCGCTATTATTGCTTAATTCATGTTCATTAACCCTTTTTTGATAGAGGCAGTTCTCCATGTAGCATCTGTTGCCCTCATTCTCCTACTCAATACGAAGTGCGTATAGTCCGATGGCTCCGATCATCGGATCATCGATCCGCCCGGACCTTACAATCAGTGTAACAGAAGGATAGTAATGGTTTATTAAGCATGCAGCCAACACTATTACAGTATATTAAACGGAGCTGGAGTACACGGATTCTGTTTACTATGCAGAATAACAACATTTTATGTAGGCTTATGGGTGAGCCAGAGACAGGTAATGGATGGTTGGCTGGCTGGTGCTTGGCAATATTTCACTCGATGCTTTAACAGACATCGGCGATTGGTCGAAACGTTTTGCCTTGGTCGACTGGTATGTAGAAGGCCATAGCTAAACAACTCTGAATGAACAGATAGAATTGTGGTCATCCCGAGTCTCCCTATGGGATTCCCCAGTCAGTTGTCTAGTCCACGGCTCTCCTCAACAAAGCCGCGAGTTTGAAAGGACAAGATAGATCACCGTAGTGCATTTTAGCGCTACATTTTACTGGTAATACGATCATTTTTGTTTTTAAAAACCCTCATTTTACCCTCTACAGCACAATCTAGGTAGCTTTTTTTGTGTTTTTCAATTGAAAGATGAAGCGTTACTCAAGGAAATTCTGAGTGCAGACGAGTCGTTTGTCTGAGAAAGATGTCCGCTCTTGGATCGATAACTTGCATTCATACTAAAAGATGCAATAACCGAACTCTATCACCTGCTGCACTTTGGCTTCGCTTCAACCACTAATCAACAAAGGAAATCCATTCTGCCAGCTTCCGTTTTCAACCGTTTTTAGTTGAGCCTCTGTCACAATTTGCAAACATAAAATCTCTTCGAAAACATTCAGTGAGATATTCGGGAACAATTTTTCCCAATGTTTTCGATTGGTGACGAAACGCCTGCAATTCAACTGTCAAGCTCGGTGAACAGACCAACAACCAAACTTCGAGCTTATCAATGTTTTCGATTGGTGACGAAACGCCTGCAATTCAACTGTCAAGCTCGGTGAACAGACCAACAACCAAACTTACGAGCTTATCTCTTGTGAACAAAGACTAACCTCATCATACAAATTTGGTAGACATGATCACCATTGTATCAAGATTTTTTTATTTCATTCTTATTTATGCTGAATGAGTAGCTGACGTCCTTCAGTGTAACGAGCTTTATGCTTTTCCGCGTAAGCGAGTTCCAGCTCTACCTGAATATGAGTGGACTCAAGACCTTGAATTTTTAATTATACAGTGTACTGATTGCAAAATAATGATTAACGTTTAAGCCGCTGAAATAATTTCGTTCACTTGGAGTTGGAAGTTCTCCCTTGGTTCAATGACATTTAGATAGTCTGTGTTTGGGGCAGGAATCAAGTGAGTTGTGTTAATATATCATCACGCATGAAAATGTCGGACCTTTTTGACGCTAGCTTCTTTTGAATACCAATCTGTTTTTAACTACGCATAATAATGTGTTTGTGGCTAGGAGTTCAGTTGGTTACTTCAAGTCCCGAATACATGAAAGTAACCGAACGGATTGACTGTCCACATGAATAGAGGGCCACCCACGCTTAATAGAAAGAATGATCAACGGTCTCTCAAAGGTTCTCCTGATAACACACGCCGGATTCAATATGTTTATTCAGTTATTGTAGCTTCGCAATTATGAAGAGTTATGAAGAGAGTTAATGAAGTTTGGTCGCCCAAGCTGTCAGAAGGGAAATTAGACCCAGGAACTGAGAAACATAAAGGACCAGTGGTATGTGGTCACAGAAAAAGCCTAATTTTCCAGACAGCGCT